AACGCTGAGTTTGTTTCTTTTCTGTTCTGTTATATAAATTTCTTATTTGAACGTCTTCAAAAATCAAACGATCAAAGTGATGTCGCGTTGTATCAATTAGCATCAAAGAGAAGAGAAAAATTTTTATGTAAGAAGTAAAGATATTCGATATATTTTGTTCTACTAGTTAGCGATAATGATAACCTTTAAAAATAGATAAATGTTTTTGAATTGGATTTATCATTCGTTGAGTCTCACAATCGAGTCATTTTTGAATAGTTTTTTAAAGATCATTTCCTGATGGTGGCATTTTCGATACAAAGAAATTTGGTGCCATTCCGGAAAATACGATTCTTACTATCAATACTCGTACTGGTCAAATCGTTAATCAATGGAGAATGAATACAATAATCTATATTTCAGATTCTACATGCCTCATGGTCTTTCGAATGATACAGTAGGAAATCTTTGGTTAACCGATGTTGCAATGCATTAAATAAAATTATTCCTATGTTTTTCTCAAACTTTTATTAGTATTAGATGAAGTATTTGTACCTGGCAGTGATCCAACACATTTTGTAAACCAACTGATGTTGCTGATGGATATTGTAATTCTCGCATTATTAAACTTTATTCAAAAGAAAAATTTTTTAAAAAAATATACAATGCCTGATGAAGAAAAACACCTTTCAATTCCGCATAGTATTATTCTTATTGAATATCAAAAAAATAATTTTTTATTTTCTATAATAGAGTTGTTTGTTTTGATGATGGAGAAACAAATGAGAACAGTTTATGCTTTTACTTATTATGCAACTAAACGTAGGATTTTATTTCAAAAAACATTTTATATTAATAAATGACTTTTTTCAATAGATCGTCTTTATGCAGTTAGTGGTAGAAATTAAAAAAATCGAGCAGTTGGTTTTACATTTGATGCTCATCCAGAATCATTTGGTGATTTGATTGCTACTTCGAAATCAAATGAAGTTCGTATATGTTTAGAAATTTGGTGAACCACATGGTATAGCTTTAAGTATAAATGGTCATGCATTATTCGTTGGTGAAATTCGTCCGAATCGTATTGATGTATTTGATGTTCTCAATTAATTTTCAAGAATGATCCCTTTTTTTTTCTTCTTTTTTGAGCAATAATCAACAGTCATTCTTTGTTCTCAAATACTTTATCGAATGATTTCGATACATAATCAATGATATATACGTATCTTTTATTATCAGATATATGAATTGAAGAGAAATATATATCGAAAAATAATCATATACTTAATAGAGTAGACTATTATTGCTTAATCTGTGACGCAAGCTTTGGATAATCTCACTATGATAGTTGATAAGAGATATTGAAAAATATTTCATAACTCTGACTAGTTTTTCTTTAGAAATCAGCAAATTCTAGTATTTTATGTATGACGCAAAGAAGACGTATGGAGTTTTATTTATTAATAAAAGAGCAAATGTTAATGTAACGAATAAATAGAGAAGTAAAAAAGTATCCAGAAGATTTTATTTGGTTCACAGAGAGAAAAAGAAATATTTTTGTCAAGTTAAAATCTGTCTAATGAAATTTTTATTTTTAAAGCAAAACTAAATATCGTTTTTAAGTAATATTGATATTCATGACATAGAGAAAAGTTCATTCGATAGTAGATCTAGTTTAGGATTTATTTATAAGTTGTATAACGACATGTGATAGATATGACAATAAATGTTGTAATTTATATCAAATCAATGATCTGCAGATTAAGATGATTCCATAGACAGTGGATATGGATGTGAATGAAAGAGAGACGCCCACACCCACACTCTTAAGATCTTATTTTACAATTTTTTGATCAAAAAAATTTATCATCAACTGATAAAGAAAATCAATTCATTAAAACATGTGAATCAATAATAACAAAGAAAAAATAAATGAACTAATTTTCTTTTCGTGATATGGAAAAATCCTGAAATTGGTTTGTTGATATTTATATATCATTATAAATATAGTTTAATGAAAAAATCTTATAGTCGTGTTTGGAATTACTTTTCAAACAAATTGAAGAAAATTTTCCATCACAACAACAGCAATATGATAATAATATACTTCAAGTAAAATAGTCTGTTCATTACACTATATTTACAGTACTATTCAAAAAAACTTGCACATCTTGTTATGTAAATATGTTCCCATATATAAGTCACTCTCAAGTAGTTTCCATAACTGGCTGATCGCCTATGCCGAGTACTATTTAGCACTATACTTCAATATTTTATTCGTTCACCTTTAAATTCAATAAGAGACAAACATCATTTTTTCATCGACATCACACAATTTTTTTACAACATGAATTTTAGTATTATTGAATTCTTCAGTTAAAGAAAGTTCCAGTTCATTAATGTTTTACGATCGACCATAAGTTCTCGATAGCATTAGCATTTCGAGTATCAGATGGGTACTCGAATAATTCTAATATTTTGTTCCTGACCAGTTGTTTGGAAATATTGTAAGTATGATTACGATCATTATCTTGTTGTAAACATCAATTTTGACGAAATTCTTGACTAGCAGCAGAAAGAAGATAATTTTTTAGTATATGAGCATAATATGAACCATTATTTGTCGATAATTTATCTTTAATTTCACTGAGGGGTATTTAATTGTTAAATCGAATATATTGAGTAATATAGATTTTTTCTGTTTCCGTGAGGCACATAGTCGACCATTTCATCTTCACTGTTTAAGTGAATTTGTTTGTTTCAATTTATTTATATTGAAATAGATAGTCCTTGATGATATCTTTATTTCATGATGAATAGCACGAGTGCATCCCATACCTATGCTACAATAATGTAATGTCTATATATACGATAGTTTTTTAAATCAGTAGATTGTATTATAATTAAATGTTTTTGTATTAAAAAGAAAAAAAATCACATTTTTATATAGCTAACGTGTAGTAAATCTAACGAATATATATCTCTGGAAAATTCAAATTTGTAACGATTTTCAAACGGTAAGAAAATCGTTATACAAAAAATAAAAAATTTTGTGCAAGTTTTTTTGAACACTAGTTTATATCGTTCATAAACGACCGAGGTTATCTCAACAATAAATATTTCTAAAAAAGTTAGACGATTAATAATATTTTTTTGTCAAAAATTGATCATTAAAACAAATCATATAGAAGTTCTTCAGTCACAAATTATTTTTTTTCTCTTTTATATACAAAATATATGTCATTTTTAATCTCTATTCGTAGAATTTTGATTGCTGCAAGTACCTCTCTTATGTAAAAACGTGCCCGGTCAATGCATGGCAGTTTGGTTATAACATATTATTAACTAGTTTCATGTTACGTTTTTTTAAAATATTAACTCATCAATAATTTGAAATAAAAGAGATGGGACATGCAGTTCCAAGAGCAGAAACTGATCCATCAGTTCCAGTTCATCTGAAAAGATTTAATGACGAGCTTTAACAGTCACATTTCTAGTCTAAAATGACATGATAAATGACTCTTCCATATAAATACTTCTGTAAAATAAATCTTCCATCATACATCATTTACATGTTGTTTTACTAGAAGCAGAGTGTACATTAGCTATGATGCATGTTTATTAATACATGATCAATAATATTTGCTTTTTTTATTGCATCTAAAAACTTATTTTCAAATGTTGTATATAATATTCTGTCTCATCTTTTT